TACTCTACCACAGATGATTGCAAAATAATAAGTTCTCAACAACTTCTTTTAGTTTAAGTTGTCGTAACGAACAATTCTCAGAAAAGAGGTTTTCTTATTCCGTGACACACCTTTCGACAGCCAAGCCTTCACTAAAGTTTGCTTCCAGCAATGTCAAGCCATAAACTCTTATATATGCAGGGATACTCTTTTTCTCGGTTCCCACACATAGTATTGCCTCTACTGTATGAAAAACCTCTATCGAGCACTAATAGTTATCGACAGGAACTATTATCTAAAGCTTAAGTCTAAAGTCTGTCGAGGCCCTTAATTGATTATATTGAAGTAAAATATTTGTTTGGCCGTTATAAGTTCTTCTTAATGCACAGTTTTTACCTTTTTAAGTGTAGATCATTCTAGAATGTATAAACAGCTTCTACGACTGCATAAGGATTGATTTCACTTCTATATCCAATTCAAATTTTACTTAATCTGTTTCATATTTTAATTTAAAAAAGGGAATTTTGCACTGACTTACGTAAGCCAAAAACGTAGCAATCCTATTGCCGGTACCTAGTGACGTGAACCTATCTTCATTGCCCTATAACAGAAAAACACAGGCACACAAATAGTTATGGAAGACATTGTGGCCGAGTGGTGCCACTGGTCTAGGGGAGTAGCTAAGGCTCGGTTCATACGTCGCGCTTGTGTCGCAGTTAATTCAAAATTAATACTGTCGCGTATGAAGACATGATTGATCATCGCAGTTATATACACAACATTTTTGCAGTGTCGCGTATGTCAGTCAACGGAAAATGTCTTAAACGTAGAGTATCCAATAAGGCGGACGAAGATACTAAACGACGAAGGGTTGTTGCGAAAAATTGTCAATCAAACGAGAAGGAGAAGGCTGACAATACAGCAGTATGTGTGGCGATATGTTCAGGTTAGAACTCCGGTTAAAACTGCAACTTGTCCTTGCAAAGTAGTCGTCTGAGCAGATCGCACCTAGCATATCAGCAACATGATTATCGAGCCAATGAGCCTTTCTGCCAGGTAGGACTGGGGACGAGAAAGGCCATGTTTTTTCTCTTTCTATGGCCAGACCAAATTTACGCATGCTCAATACATCATCATGATGTATGTATTAGGTTCAACACGGCAGAAATTCGACGTTTGAATCGGTGTCGCATTTCTGTCGGATAATGCGAAAAGACCAATCGAACGTGCGGCGGAAATGCAGCAGCCGATTCAGACGTCGAAATGCGACGTACGAACCGGGCCCTACTGTAACGACTACCCCAGCACCAGAGTTAACATACTGTACAATTAACAAGCTGCAGAGGGCACACGAGTGCACACGTTATCCTCATGCAAATTGTTCACGGAAGCCTTTAATATTTTTCTTACTCGGGCAAAGTCATAGTGTGGTTCGTAATGACCAGCAATTCCATAGTTCACAATCTACAAGAAAAAAAATTAAAACACATATGTAAGCAAAGTCGAAACTGGAATATTAAATTATGTGAATGAGCCAGAGATTATGAAGAGTAAAGAGAATCAATAATCATTCCCTCTCAAGTTATTTTTAGACATGGTACCCAGTTCCCCTGTGGATAATATTATCACACACGTTGCGCGGAGCATGAAAAGCGCGTAAAGCCGATTGAGCTGACTATCCACGTGAGCAAAATTCGTCACATGATTGGCTGTTTATAGACCCCCTCGGGATTTCCGAAACAGGTTAGTGATCTAAAAATAACTTGACAGGGGTTCCCTTGGGAATAAGGCCTTTAACGGGGGATTCACTCTGTTACCCTTCAGCCTCTCTTGGCATGACCCAGTAAACAGCCAGACATGGCTGGTGTTTTGCGAAATAGGCCATTTCCGAGTTGCCCTTTGCCTCTGTGTTAAAACCATTGTTGTGTGAAACCACTGTTTTGAAAATGGGTTTCATCTATAAGTTCATTTTCATGCCAATCAAACTCATTTGATAAGAAAGGTTTTGCAAGAGGACTCGTTTTGAAAGAGAGGCAAAAAGCAACGAGGAAATGGCCTATTAAAGGCACCCTCTCTACTCAGCCTCCCTCCCTCCTACCCACTCAAACATCCTTGAAATTACTCAATTAACCATTCAGTTTCCTAAGTTCTAAAATGTTTTGAACATTACTGAGCAGTTTGGAGGATTAGAAGTTTCCAATCATAAATTGTAACGATCAAATAGAGACCAATTAGCAATCAAATTGATCGCCCTTTTTCAGCAGTGGTAATATTTTTCCTACCCCTCCCTTGACAGTACACACCTGTAGTTCCTCAGCAGTGTCCATAGTCAAGCCTGTTACATCTTCAATGCGCAGACTCACTCGTCTGATGAGTTCGTGGTCCTCGTCCTTCAGCCAGCCACTTACAGGAAGTAAACAAGTAAACAAATAAACAAAAACAAACAAAACAAAAAAGCCAAACAAACAAACAAAATATAAAAATTCAGAAAAGGGAACAACAGACAGTAAACAANAAATCAGTGACATTTTTAAAATTCTGCTTAACACAGGACTGACACGTCAGCCAAAATTAATACTAAGGGAATAAATAAGCATGGTGTTCGAAAATTTTGTCGTATTAGTCTTAAGTCGAAAGATTACGCACTCTCGAGAGTGTAAAATTGAGTGCATCTAATAGCTTAAAATTGAAGTCTTCATCACAAACGTGAATTAAAATAAAATTAAATCAGATCTCCATAACAATATCGATATAATTTAAGGCAAACAAGCTTACGTGGGTAGCTGCCCTCCAATTTTATGACTGAGAGAAATTAATCGGCGAGACAAATTAAAACGAGTTGTTATTGAATTCATCACCTCGATAAAATGCAAGCAAACTTAAGTGTACAAGAAAATCACCCTAAGAAACTACACAACTTACCCTCAGAATTGTCCAGCTGAACTAGTCTTTCCGCTTCGGGCCATTCCTTGTACATTCTCCTAATTTCGAGATAAGAGTTTACCGGATGTCCTAAATATCTTGATACATCGTCTCCCACAACCTTATGCGCGGCGTTCACTTTAGCGAGAAACTTCTTGAGTTTGGCCAGCCTCTGTTCCTCTAAATTGACATACTCCTCTAAAGTGAACCTCAATTCACGTTCTCTGTACACTAGGTTCTCTAGATCGATTAAGGCCGTGAACACTTCACCTCTAGTTCTACCCAAAATCAGGTAAAAAGTCAGTGTTAATAGCGAAAATCTAACGCAGAACATCTCCGCCATTTTACAGACCCCGGCGCTACATGCAAGTGAAATGAACGAGGTTCTGTGAGGTCCAAGACAAGGAAGACATGTACTATTGAGAATTTAAATATTCATCGCCTAAAAAAACATAAACAAACATTGCTAATTTTCATAATGACGTCTAGACAAACGTCATTTTGTTGTCTCCTCCTCATTATAATTTCAAATTAGTGCTTAAGCTAGAATAATTGTGTTTTGAAGCGCAAAAGCCCTCGTGGAAATGTCGCTTGGTCCTTAGGCACTGAGGTAATTCTTACAACCAGCGTGACACAGGAATGGAAAACCTGCCAAAAAGTGGATGAATCGATTCATTCATGAAAACAATCAATTATTCATTTCATTGGAGTTGGAAGAAAACATGGCAAACCGCACGTTAAAGTAGTTGAAATAAAATACTTGAAATATTTTTTGGAAAGCGTCTCAGCAAAGCAGTGACACGTATTACTCGTGGAGACCGGAGTTCGTTGCACTTACTACGTCGTGTAACACTCTACCTAGTTTTCCCTCGAATCCTCGGAGTGGGTATACTGTGATGTGTTGCTGTGAGGTCTGCGATGGGAAAGATTTGGTCTACAATAAGTTATAAGCTCAATACCGGGAAACTGATTCAATGGCACAAAAAAAATCTACTCTAGACTAGAAAGGAATAATTCACACAAAATGCATTTGAACATGGTCTGGTGTAGGGTAAGTCGCTTCAGAGCCCCAGCTTCACAGACCTAACAAACATTTGCAGACCTCCCCCCGCCCGGGGGTAAATATTCTCAGTAAAACTGCTATAACCTCGAAGCTGCTATAAGTATCCAGTTTGGTTTTAATAGATAAGTACAGACTGCACTGAACTAAGCATCAAGCCTTTCCCTTCCCCACCTTCCTGCGAGAAGCCTTGAGCCTGATTCACACTTGTCGGATAAGCAAAGGTATAAGCACAAACCTAAGCACAGGAAAATACTAGTGTGAACATCCTTGTGCTTATGCCTGAGCTTATCTCACAAGTGTGAACCAGGCTTTATACTCGAGTTCCAGCCTTTTATTCTAAAAAAAAGCCAAACAACTTTTGTTTTTTAAAAAAAGCTAGACCTATATCCCAAAAAGCAAAACAATCAATATTCTAAACAATGGCCAAAATAGCCCATATTCTAAAAACAAATACGGCTAGCCTATATTCTAAAACTGAAGGCGAAATAGCCTATATTCCAAAAAAGGCCGAAATAGCCACCTACATTCTAAAAGAGACAGCCTGTATTTAAGAAAAGGCCAAAGCAATGTCATTATAATATATATCTGTATTTCTAACCTGTAAGTGTTTTGATCTGATGGTAATATTTGCCTTTCCGAAGCATGATAGTTTGAGAAAAAGGGAAGACACGTAAGACAGTTTCATTAAGATTGGCAGACATCATATCGCAACATCCCTCTTCACCCTAGCTACGATTTTGAAGCACTTGGCCTTCAGCTGGTATCAGCTGGCCTTTGAGGAGCCTTTTCGATCAGTTCCAGCTGGTACTGAAAATAAAGTTTGCCACACAAAATTAGCTTAGCTGGATAAATCCATTAGTTAAATCAATTCTTCCGATGTTGTCTTTACACAACTGCCTGAACGTTTCGCTTAAAGTTTACTAGGGGTCTAACAAGAGAATCAGTACCACGGCCTGTCTTTGAAACAATAGAAAAACCAGTGTAACACCCGTAAACAACTTGCGCCACAGAAAAAAATCTATTTGAGAACTTCACCGCAACTACACTCACATGGCTCGACCAAACACTGTTTAAAAGAATCAGTGATATATTCTGGAAAATATATTTCAGCGACCAATTCCTACTTTACATCTTGATATTGACTACTTTCCATTTAAAAACCATCGAAGAATTATATTCTAAACATAGCGCAGATCCCATCTGCTTTCAAGTATAGTATAGAAATGTTCACGATTAATTATTAATAGTTTGAAAACTTCCCCTCTCAGAATTCGCTAGCGCAAACTCATCGGTCACATGTATCGAGCCTGAATCAGTAAGACCTTGCTGGTGACAAAATGGGCACTCGATGGCTGTGTGTAATTCTCTTCCTGGCTTTCTGTCGAAGTTTCCGTCGAAAATTCTTCGCTAAAGGAGATAGTTACACGTCTATCGCAGAGATGACACAAGTTGTAAACTTGGAAATGAAACTTGGAGAAAGCCTCGAGAAATTTGTCGAGTTAGAAAAGAAAAGATTGCAACAGATCAAGCAGTTTGCTGATAGCGTCAAAGAAGCGACGAATCGGGTGAAGATAGAGGGATTGAAATCTCTAGAAAATCCGACCACAACTTATGCTCTTATCAAAAGATTTGCGAACGGATGGAGCGAGCTTGGCAAATTTTTGGACAAGGATTATTCGAACGGTAAGTTTCGTTATTTCGTTCATTAACATCGTTAATGATCGCTAGATTTCTATACTTGTTTTATTACACGCTGCTAGGTTTTTCAAGATTTGTATTCATTTCTCGATTTTCAATCTTATATTTCATAAAAATTGTAAAATGGCTTTTCACGAGTTGAACATTTGCAACACTTATCAGTCCTGTAAATTCTAATAACATTGCAACGCTGAAAACAAAAGTATGGACAATTGAGTATCAATATAAAAAAAAATAATCCAGTTATATTCTAGGGTTTTTTCTTTGAAGTTTAGATAATATTTCATATGAATTACACTAAATGATGAATATGAATTACATATGAATTACACTAAATGCATGTAGGGCCTAATGACTGCTGCAAAACCGATATCAAAGTCACCTTGGAAGTTTAGTTGTTTACAGCAAACGTCAATCATGCATTGGACCAATCAGAAATCACAGCGAAAACATGCAACACGCCGCCGGAAAGCGCGGGAAAAATAGGCATTGGCCCATGTGACTATGGCTGCGACCTCAGACGTATTTCCGGCTGTCCAGCCTCAAGTCTCCGCCGAAAATATTTTCTGCGGAGACAATCGAAAGCCGGAAATACGTCATCTTTCTCAGGCTAACGTGACTATGATTATAGTTGTGCCGTCTAGAAATTTGAGTGGCAAGAGTGATTTCAAGTTGCTCAAAGTTTTTTTTTTTTTTTAATGGAGGATTCGGCAAGCTCAGGATGTTTTCAAGTCTCTACGACAAAACTCGTTCCCAGATCCCTTGCACTTCCCTGTCCCTGGTCTGGAGAAACGGATCGGAGCGAAAATATCAATATTCTAACATGGCTCCGAGGCTTTTGGGCCAAAATTGTAAATTTTTTAAGTTTCTTTTGTCTCTCAATTCCCAAAAGAGACTTGGATACAAAGAAAACAACACCGAATATAGAAGTTTGTCCTTAAAGCCTCCCAGCCATGTTAGAATTATCGAACGTGGCCTATTGGGAACGACAGTTGACACATTTATGCTCATAATTCGGTCTGTTAGTCCTACGTTTATACAAAAGCTTCATTACCAGATTAAAAGTTCATAAACTTAAATTACAGCATAATATATTGATAAGAAAATATATATTTTAAGAAAATATACGATTACTTAGTCTGCTAATAAAGATATTGGATGACTGATTCTGCAATTTTCGAGAGGCCATCAAAAAAATGTGTTAACTTTCCGGTCTCTTTCCAACCACTTTCTGTCTAAATATCTTGAAAACGTCCGGCAAATCTTTACAAGTCTTCGGGTAATCTTCGGAAGGCTTCGGTCATCATTGGATATCGACGGAAGTCTTGAATAAACGCAAGAGTCTTCGGAAGTAAGTTTTAGAGAACCAAATGTTTTTGTTTGAATCTTGTCTTCTGTTTCCGTAGATTTAAAAGATTTATTGAAGTCAAACAAATGGCAATTTCCAACCTCCAATGAGGACTTGATAGGAGCCATGGCCGCACTCTTTCGGCTCCAAGACACATACAACATATCTACTCCTGACATGGTGAATAATGATATTCCAGGTGAGCAGAGGAAACCAAAAACAAAACGATATTTGTCAGTGATCATGAGTAATTAAAAACAGTATTTTTGCTCATAAAAATGGTTCTGATGTGGAAAGAAATGGCAGAACGTACCCAGGTCTCTTGTGGGCGCTTACGAGAGATCTGGGAACGAGTTTAGGCAGAACGACCTCTGACTAAGAGAAAATGAGCTCGACAGGGTTGGAGTGGGAAAGTCGCGTACTATAGATAGATCATATACTCACACGAACTAATAATACCGTTGAATATACAACGGCTTTCTTGTATTATTATTGACTGTATTTTCTATGGCATGGTATAAATAGTTAGATTAAATAGTTTCTGCATGTAGCAAGAGAAAGGGGCATCGAACCCTTAAAGAAAACAATGTATTTTAGTTGAAGGTAAAATGGTACAAAGATTGAAGAGAAACTGTCTATTCTCAAAAGCGAAAATACTTGGATATGTTATCGGTCTGTTAATTATAAATTGCTGAATACTCCAGACTTGTCTCTTAATTTTTGACCGATGAAAGGACAAGTCATTTAAAAAAACGTTGCCAACAGTTAAATATTGTTATTATTATTATTATTATTATTATTATTATCATTTTGTTACGAAAAGCATATAATTTCGTAGCTGTCTTCATAATTCGTCCGTATCTTATAATACCATTCCTTGCTGTCCATTATTATTCATCCTAACTTCGTTTATATGTGTCCCTGTCATTTACTGGGTCGTACTGTACAAATTCAAAACATTTATATTGTTGAGCGTTTGTGATCAAGATGCGTTTTGAGTATACATGTATGTTAAAAAAAATATATAATGCCTGCTTAGGATGTGGAGCGGCTCCAAAGCTATTGGCTGAAGACTGTTTTGATATGGGGACAGTAGCTTACCAGTCCGGGAGATATGGACTGGCCAGGGCCTGGCTGAACATGGCGGATGATCTGATACGACAAGGAAGACACGACGGAGTAGCTAATCGCACAGAAGTGTTAGAGTACTTGGCTTGGATCGAATATATAGTAAGAAAATCAGACTTTGCTGCTTTGACTCTCAATTAAACGTTACGCAAACAAAAAATTAGGGGCCTCGTCCACATTACACCCGAGTGAGAATTTGAAAACGGAGGCTTCACTCTGAGAACGCATCAAATGTTTTCCGTCCACACCGCAAAAAACGAGGGCAGGGAAATCACACGGTTATTATGACGTCATCGTTTGCGAAAAGCTCCGTTTTCGAAATGTTCAGTTCCGTCCACACGAAAATGAAAAGCTGGCACTTTCATATATTCCCTCGGTTTGAAGAGCGTTTTCGAAAAGCTCCGTTTTGGTGACGGATTAGTGTGGACGGTAGGCCTAACCGTAGAAATAAAGCTGCNTATAAATTGCTGAATACTCCAGACTTGTCTCTTAATTTTTGACCGATGAAAGGACAAGTCATTTAAAAAAACGTTGCCAACAGTTAAATATTGTTATTATTATTATTATTATTATTATTAGTTTGTTACGAAAAGCATATAATTTCGTAGCTGTCTTTATAATTCGTCCGTATATTATAATACCATTCCTTGCTGTCCATTATTATTCATCCTAACTTAATTTATATGTGTCCCTGTCATTTACTGGGTCGTATTGTACAAATTCAAAACTTTACATTGTTGAGCGTTTGTGATCAAGATGTGTTTTGAGTATACATGTAGGTTAAAAAAATAATAATATAATGCCTGCTTAGGATGTGGACCGGCTCCAAAGCTATTGGCTGAAGACTGTTTTGATATGGGGACAGTAGCATATCAGTCCGGGAGATATGGACTGGCCAGGGCCTGGCTGAACATGGCGGATGATCTGATACGACAAGGAAGACACGACGGAGTAGCTAATCGCACAGAAGTGTTAGAGTACTTGGCTTGGATCGAATATATAGTAAGAAAATCAGACTTTGCTGCTTTGACTCTCAATTAAACGTTACGCAAACAAAAAATTAGGGGCCTCGTCCACATTACACCCGAGTGAGAATTTGAAAACGGAGGCTTCACTCTGAGAACGCATCAAATGTTTTCCGTCCACACCGCAAAAAACGAGGGCAGGGAAATCACACGGTTATTATGACGTCATCGTTTGCGAAAAGCTCCGTTTTCGAAATGTTCAGTTCCGTCCACACGAAAATGAAAAGCTGGCACTTTCATATATTCCCTCGGTTTGAAGAGCGTTTTCGAAAAGCTCCGTTTTGGTGACGGATTAGTGTGGACGGTAGGCCTAACCGTAGAAATAAAGCTGCTTTTTAAAATTCCTCCGGCGTAGTGTGGACACTGCGCAACTTAAAACGTGTAATTTGGTTATGTGCATTTCAGTACGGCTGTAGAGATTTGTTTTGTTCGAGGATTTATAGCTATTATTTCCAGGAGCTTGTAAAACAATTCAAGAAACAGCTGCGAATAAATTGGACTTTAATGTGTAACAGACAGCAGAGAACTCATTAACGAATTATTATTTAGAAATTAAAAATTTTGAGTGTTTTTCGTTGGCAATGAGAAAGTGACGCACTCATAAATAAATAAATTACAATATTTAGAGAGGAAGACACATCAGCCTAAGCTGGTTTTCATGCAGGGCCTCTTTCTTGGTCGAATTGGAATTTGCAGATGTTAGTTTTTTCGGAGGGCGAAGAACCGGAGAACCCGGAGAAAAAACCTCGGAGTAAGGCGAGAACCAACAACAAACTCAACCCACGTATGGCACCGGGGCCGGAATCGAACGCGGGCCACATTGGTGGGAGGCGAGTGCTCTCACTACTGCGCCATCCCAGGTATCATTAATACTGAAACGAAAATTGGTGTGAAATTAGGGTGGTTCGAGAAATTGGGGGTAAAATTAAAGTGTTCGACCTAGGGCAGGGGAACGTCTTTTGATTCGAGTTTTCGAGAGGTTCGAAAAATCGAGGGTTTGAAAAATAATATTGACTTGAATGATTTTGTCTTCTATCTTTTTATATATAGAAAGGAAACCCCGAGCGAGCTCTTAATCTTACCTTGGAAATAGTGCAACTGGGTAAGATATTTTATTTATTTCTTTATTCCACTTTAAAGTGCGCTTGCGGCCTATAGTCTTCGTTTTTTCAGAAATAAAAACTGTTCACATGTTTTTAAACAGCTCCCAACAGCACCCAGGCAAAAGAGAATGTTATGCACTACAGAAGAGCTGCTGAACAAAACACACGTGACACCCATGAGCAAATAAAGGCGAAAGAAGAAGAAATTACCACGACTACTTTTACAAGTGGAGAATACGCGAGCCTGTGCAGGGGCGATACGAGCAAGGTACCAGTCCTCTCTCTTCTTTCCATTTGTTCTGCAGTAATGGCTTCTATAATTGGAATGACATCTGTAAACCAACTTCGAATAGCCACAGCAAACCCAACTGCTTCTTATTATCGCAGTCTGTGATAGGAGAATGGGAAATGCTTAAAGAGATTAGGTCAAGCAATTTTAAGCAGTTTTTGAGTGGATGAATTTGCTTCAGAATTAACTGAAATATCACAATAGCGGCTTAAAACGGTAGAAAAACCCAAACGAAACAGAGACCTGACAGCCAAAAAGGGACATAAATGGGCAAAATTGGAGAAGATAAAAACGGATTACTTTCGGGAAAATTTGCATGGAAAAACGTCGGACCGACATTTTACGAGCTGGCGAAATACCTCCCGTAGGTCGATATCTGTAAAAAGTGGACCTCCCTTAGGTAGATATTGCCGAGTAAAAATGTTTTGAAAATACAAAAGCAGCGAATTCCATAACATGTGGCAAGAAATTTTGTTCGGTGACGACTGGAAGTTGCTTAAAAGAAAATTTCCATCCTTTGTAATGTTCGCCGAGTATGGCGAAGCAGTGAATTTCAGAACATTTCACTAACTGAGCTCGTAACTGTTTTTTCCTTTCCATTTCTGACTTAGAGTACTCCGCAAGGAAATCTGATTTGTTGGTATCACGGGAAGAAGAACCCTTTGCTTATGATCAGACCTGTTAAAGTAGAAATGGTTTGGCGTCGACCCCGTCTTATCATCTTTAGAAACCTTCTGAGCACAGCGGAGGCTAACAGAATCAAGGAAGTCGCCACGCCCAGGGTATGCTGAAATACGAACTGTAGGGAAAGTATCAACCTCGTTCCCAGGCTCTCTCTCGTTTGCCTCCTAAGAGAGGCAAAGAAGACAGAGCCTGGGAACAAGATTGGGAAAGTAAAGAGCGTTTTCACATACATGACGTCACGGCAGCCATATTTGTGTACAAGAACAATAAAACGGCGGCCATATTGATGTTCCAAACCAATACTATGGGAGTTGAACTCTTTTCTTAGGTAGGCACATTCTTTGTTTCAATAAATTTGTATGGCTGCTGGCCACGTGAGTGAAACTGTTCTATTGCTTGGTAGATTATGGCGTTTTGTTAGGGGGTTCACACGAGACAAGGAGTAGACCTATTATTCTACAAGCCATGAAATCTATCATAAACACTCTTGTTCTTTGACCATTTCAATTTAACAAGAAATAAAATGCAAACAGCGGCAACAAACATAACACATGAACTACGCATGGTTTGGAACAACAATCTAAAATTTTCTTGAAATATATGCTGCGTAACTAGCGTAAGGGCAAAATAACTGTGGTTATCAATCATGAGTATAGGGCAGAACAAAATGGGAACTTCAGCTACTTCAACCGTGGTAATACTACGGTTAAAACGATGGAGGAAGGGGCGTTTCTTCCGTCCCTGGGGTAAATCTCACGCCCTACGTGCAAAATCCCTTTGTCAGCCCGGGATCTCTTCAAGGATAGTCCTGTGTTCTACTTAAGATACCCACCTCTCTCACAGATCTCATGGAAATTGGCTTCCTTTCTGGAAAACTCTACTTAAAGGTTTACCCTTTATAATGCTGCTTAATTTATCATTTGATTTCCAGTAGCTGACGCTTTGTTTTGGCTTGATTTGACAGCTAAGAAGAGCAACTGTGTTTAACAAAAAAACCGGAGTGCTGGAAAACGCACATTATAGAGTAAGCAAAAGGTGACTGTTTTAATCTGTATCAGTGCACTTTAAGAAATAAGAGAGTGAGGAGGTGAGAGAGTTATCCTGCGTATAGCCAGCCGAGCGAAATCGGGTCTAATCTGCGATTAATTAGGCGTTCTTTTTCATTGCGCCGCGCGAAAGACCTTTTTCGCATTCAAGCCGCGCCAAAAATGGGGCGAGAGCAATTCTCGCCCCATTTTTCGCGAGGCTCGATTTCCGGTTCGTCTTGTATACGGGGACGCTTGCTGCGCAGGCTATGAGAGAGTGAGTGAATAAGTTTTCTGATAACCACTACATTCATTACTTATTTCTTTGACATTAATATGTTACAACGCAATTATGTCCATTTAATCCTTTATAATATAAACAGGCGCGCAACGTTCAAACGCAACAATTTAGGCCCTGTCCCTACACCGCAGGAATTCGAAAGCGCGCCTTAATTCTACGGTTAAGCCTACCGTTCACACGTCCACACTAATCTGTCACGAAAACGAGACTTTTCTTCAAACTGGAGGAATTTGGAAACACCGGCTTTGCTTTTTAGTGTGAACGGAAAACATTTAGAAAACGGAGCTTTTCGAAAACGATGACGTCACGATATAATGACGGTAATCATGTGATTTTCCTGACCGAGGTTTCCTCAAACACAAATCCAAAATGACCGGTGATTGTTGCGTTTTTAAATTCCTCCGAGGTAGTGTGGAGTGAAAACATTTGATACGTCTGTCTTTGCCATCTTGAAATTGATTGAAACAAAACGGCAAGAATGTCTGTCAGAAAACGTACCGGAAATACAAAGGAAAATGAAAATACGACGCTATGGATAACAATTGAAATAAATCTGCTGTGCAGATTTGGTGCACAAAGCGTAAGTTTTCAGTAAATTTCTTGAGTTTTGGCCTGTAAATGGAGTATTTTACAAATTCGAGATATCTCTAACAGTGACCGTTTTGGGGCATTCTCGTTCCCAGTGTTACTCGTTCTAAAATGTCGTTAAAGAAACAGAGGCTCTAGGGACGAGAATGGTTTAGGTGGGAATGACAGCAGGAAATGCGCATGCGATGCGTTTGACCGCTGGTATGAAGCAAACGGTGATCGACTGCTCGTACAAATTGCGTGCTGTTTTATTATAAAATTTGAGCCATATGACTATGTGATTTACTGAAAAAATGGTTCCAAAATACAGCGCTTGGCTTGAAAACGAGGATGACGAGGTCGTTGCAAGGGTGAACCGTCGGATTGGGGCCGTGACAGGACTGGAAATGAGTACTGCAGAACCATTGCAGGTAAAGCATCAATACAGATATCTTTTATTCAGAACTTAACATACAAGATATGTCATTTATTTTACAGGCGCTGAGATTTACTCATGAAAACAGTAATAACCTAGAATTTAACCAATTAGAAAAGACGGCGATAAAATTTGACTAATTTTGCTAATTTTACAAGGTACATAGAGAGGACTGATTCACCTTTAACATGTATGTACTTCTTCGGTTTCCATGCTCAATGCTCTAAACAAAAGTTTTTTCTACCAACCAGATCGCAAACTATGGAATGGCCGGTCAGTATGAATTTCACCTCGATTTTGGAGTAAGTAGCCTTTGTATAATAATATACTCTTTAACAACACACTGAAAAGAGAAAATTTTAATTGACTCTCGTCCAAATATTGAGCGGTGAATCCCGACTTCGCAAGATTAAGTTGATAACTTTCGATTAGAAGTAAAACTAAAACTAATCGTGACTCGCTAGCCCACATTTTCCCGCGCTTCGCGTCACCTACATGTATTTGCTTCAAGTTTTCATTGGTTCACTGGATTGTCTGCGTCCTTTGTAATTAGCCAGAATGATCAGAGCTTGGGTCTTGGCTTAACGACACTCAATTGACTATATTCGTATCCTCGGTATCGTACTGGAACTAGCTTGGAATGGAGGCTGATGCGGGGGAATAACATTAAAAAGAGATTAATGTCATTTGCATTTGAAAAGACTCCCTGCATTANGGGGGGGGGGGGGGGGGGGGGGGGGGGGGGGGGGAATATCTTACAAAGAGATTCATGCATTTGCATTTGAAAAGACTCCCCACATTAGCCTGAGTTGCAAGCTAGTTCCAGTCCAATACCGGGAATACGAATATGGCCTATTGAAAACTGCTTTATTTTAGTATCCAGTTCCTTTCGCGAGAGTCACGGTAGTCTTATGTCATAGCTAAAGCGCTACACTCAAGATTAAATTGCCCAGGTCTGGGCAGTGCTAGAGTCAATGTATAGTGTTCTTTAGCAAAACATTACCTTCTGAGATCACTAGATCGCCAGTCAAGAGTATATAATTGTGTACCGACTAATTGTTTGTTTCGTCTGTTAGGACCCAGGCTCACCCTTAGATGTCTCTCCGAATGGAAACCGAGTCGCCACAGTTCTTATTTATGTAAGGAAAAAAAAAGTTTACATTCTGAAAGTAATTCTATATTCTACCCAGAAACAAACCTGAATCTTAGAACCATTATTCATAGGGCAAGACTCATAATTTGTCAAAATATTTCAATTTTTTTTGTTTCGTTTCTATTAAGAGCTGTTAGACTCGTACGTCTGTTTCGCTTGCTGAATTTTTAAGTTTCAGTTGGCTTTAGAACAACCCCATCACAGACCTAGCCATCGGTTCACATTAAAAAAAAAATAGCAAATTAAATAAAAAGTAAAGTAATTTACTTTCTTTTTCTAAGAATGAGAAAAAGTTGTTGGATCTCGAAAGATGCTAACTGACATAAAAATCTACTTTTCTGCTTGGTTCTATAGCTTAATGACGTCAACAGGGGAGGTTACACAGTATTTACGAAAGCGAAAACTTTTGTGAGTCCGTCGATGGTAAGAAACTTTGAAAGCCTGTCAGACCGGTTTTGTCAGACCTGTTTTGTTCCACTTTCTTGATTCCATTATACTAGCTTTTAACGTCATTTCCTGACGTGTTTACAGGGTGATGCAGCGTTCTGGTATAACCTCAAGAGATCAGGGAAAGGAGATTACGAAACAGAGCATGCGGCATGCCCAGTCCTCTGCGGAAATAAATGGGGTGAGTCTGTAAATGGGATTGGTGCCTACTTCCTCCAAAGTTTGATCGGCCAATAGGAAACAAAACGAAATTAAAATATTTTAAGAGGTCAAGCTAAGCTAAGGCAAGCCAGATCTAAAACTGACAAAGGTTAATTCCGCGTTAAATGCAATTATTTTCTGGCTACTGGAAAGTCAATCGACGTGTTCTATTTGAAATCTGCGAATTTTTCATCCTCGAATTATTTCGCATGTATATCCATTGAAAGAGACAATTTTTCTTGATTTATGGCTTAGAAAATAACTAAATTTTGTAGGTTTATGATTATTATCTGTTGACCTTTATAGCGTTCATTAAAAAAATCTGTCTACTTCCCCTCGTTCAACCTCGTCCCTAGGGCCCTTTTCCCGTCCCGTCCCGTCCCACCCCATCCTTCCCACATTTAAATGGTATATTGCTTTGTTGCCCTTCGTAGTCAACTCTTCTGGCCCTCCTTGACTATTTGCTGTCAGAGAACTCGGACTCATTGCGTAATTATTAATACAAGACCTCTCTGCCAAGTTATGATATCTCGGTGACCCATAGTCTCCTTCAAAGCTGTCTTTCTGGGTGGTCACACAATGTTCCCTCCACCTCCCTCCCCATTTCCTAGTTGGTGGACCCCAAAAGGAGGCTGTCACGGAGACTAGGTGACCCACTGCAGCACGTAAGTAATGCAGTAAGCCAATCACCGCTCGAAGCTAGACACATGACCAGTGTAAAGCGCGGGAAAACAGAAGTAAGGGACACGCTGTGCTAGAACTTTCACTGATTGTTTTTAAAACACTTTACAGCATATTTAACAGCACAATGTTTTTCTTTGATGTTCTTTTTCAGTTGCCAATAAGTGGTTACATATTCGTGGACAAGAATTCCGCCGCAAATGCAGCCTTGACCCCAACGAATGATGATAAATGATTTCAGACGTGATTTCCACATTTGTTCCGCCTTTTGCGAGTCCGTTTTAGTTTGTCAGGTCTTTTGATATAAACGTAGGTCTAATATGAGGCTGGGACGAAAAATAAGTCTAGTGGAAATATTAGCTAGTAATAAAATTGCAGCTTGGAGGACAGTTATTCGCAAATTGTAAAATTGATAACTTAAGAAATAAACTCTTTATAAAAACTAAATCAACAACCGCATTTGCTCTGTGTTTTGGACCCTTTTCGTCATAGGCAGAATAAATCTTTGGATAGAAAAGTTAGTTAACCAAAAACTTTTTTCTAAGCTAGCGGCATCTGTATTTCTTTCTGTCGATAAGTGTAAACTGCAGACTATACTAACTCTCAGCGACAATAACTAGCTAGCCCGGGCTAGCTATAACTAACTCTGAGCCTGAAATAATCCCCTCTAGCCTTTAAATGGCTCTCAGCAGGGTGATTTATTCACGAATTGCACTATTTTTTGCTCTAAATTGAATCTTTTTCCTGACCAATGAGAATGGAATACGAAAACGAAACAACCAATCAGATTTCAAGGCTTTTTCAAACTAAAGAATCACATTCCAGGAGACTGAAAGACAAAAAAGCTATTGTTTGGCAAATTTTGGTACTAACGAAATTCTTGTATTTCGGCTATGAAATTGTGCGATTTCAAAGCGAATGTAATAAAGTGGAGTACAATTTTGACCTAAAATTATACTTGTGATTTCAAATCGAATCTCGCGCTGCACGCTCGTTCGATTTTCAAATCACGCGTATGATTTTCAGACGTAATAAGTAATCATACGGATTTCCTCGTTCAATTTAGAATTAATTTGCACTTGTGAGTTAATTCCAAATTGAACTCGAAACCGTATGATTACCTGTACAAATTGCACTGCACTCAATTCAATTACCATTATATGTTTTTGCCAGTGTAGTAAATTTTTAGCGGAGAAAATTTTTGGGCAGGGACTGCGGAGGGGGAGGGTATATAGCCCTACCTTTTTATCGCAGGGATTTATTTTCTAGGGCTCCAGATGGCGCGCAAATGCAAGATAAATGGCGAAACACTGACCTTAACCATGTTAACGTTTGTTTGTATTCTCTCAGATTTTGTAGCCCTACCCTGTTGTGGGAAATTTATTTTTTTCGGCAACTTTTTATCACATATCGTGGAAAAAACCACAAAATCGTAAAAAAATGAAAGCAGGTCAAGCCGTTTCCAAAAAAGCACGCGAGAGCGAGTGCAAAAACTAAGGAGCAGGGGGAGGGGGTGAAGCCCCTCCCCACTTCTCCCCATTTCTTTTCTCACCCCAGGCGTGTTCCTTAGCTCGCCCGTTTGCTCGCTCGCTTGTTCGATCTCTCCGCCTGGAAAGGAAAGGAAACGTCTGTTACGCGGGCTAGTCAAGCCGCCATCTTGGATTTAAATGCACGAGCAGATCCTGGGTGATCCGTTTCCTGGGTACGAACTGGGTAATTCAAGCGAGCGATTTCTGTGTACAGCGGTTACATGGCAACATGCCTCCGTTGCCTTGTGGGATATGCTTTAGTTGTTTAGCATACCAACGGAAAATACATGTAGGAAGTAAGCTTTTGTTGTTGAAAACCCGAGAAAATCTTGGTGAAATTCTTCGTGGACTTGCATCGTAAAACGTTCAGAACCAAACGGAACTATGACCCATGAAAATCCAGGGATAAAATTTCGCGATCTGTCGTCAATCGATTGATACTAAAGGAAATCTCAAGTCGTGAACTAGAAAATGCTTTCGACTTGGACGATACCTACAGACCCTGGATTTGATACACGAAGGCCTTCTAGCGCTGATAGATACAGTCCAGTCTATGCAGAAAGGCTACCGAAAGCACGAGTGAAGCCCGAAGCGCTTTCTAATGCAATCAAGAACCAGGGAACTCTGGCGCAGTTGTTTAATCCTCAAGCAAGACCATACTCTATCGGATCAAGACCCTGTAAGTCATAGTTAAGCTCATATTAGCTTACAATGCACTTAGAACGTACAGTTTCAGCGTAAAAACACTTTCAGACCCTTGCCCATGTAAATCCCAGAAGAATATCTCGTCTTCTGGCAGTAAAGTGAAGATCGGTGTGTTTGTAAACGACACTTGCTGATCATTCTCAATGGAGTGTTTACATTTGAAGCCATGAATATGCTCACATCTCGTGAGATGTCAAAAAGGTTTTTGACGCTATTAAGGTCATTCCACTGAAACAGAATCTGCACTGAGATTTTTGTGAAACTTTGCCTATTGATTGGTTATAGTATAGGAACTTAAATTTTGAAATAAAANCTCCTTAATTTACACCCCAGCAAATCAAGTTCTACTTGGAATGTTTTCTACTCAGGATGTAAGGATGTGAGTTCAACAGAAGGATTTTTTGATTTTCTTTTCAGAAGGAAGGAGATGATTCTGTGGATTTTTACACCTGATAGAAGTCTCATTTTATGCTTTGATTATTATATTTTTCCGATCGAAAGGCTACAGGAGGAAGGGGAGTGGAGGTTATTGGAATTCTATGGTATACATGTACATTATGTATGCCTTCATATTTTAAGTCAGTTTTTTTTCCTTTGTCACTATTGTATATATAGGCTCCTCCTCCCCCTCTACAGAGATCGAACTCTGCAACATTTCTTCGAGCTGGTTCAAGAAATGGTCCTCCAGTCAAGGACCGACCCACATCATGTGAGCCTGTTATTCCACGTGAGATGAAGTTGACTGTTCCTAAGGCAACTATTGCTAAAGAGGTGAGCATCAGTTGCTGAGGATGCAAAATTCCATCCAGTGTACTCTGCAGTGAGAGATTCACAGGGGAACAGTATTTATTTAGTGCTCAATATTTTTTCTGTGTTGTATGTGTGTGTTTTGACCTAAATTTGTATTAAAACCTAGGCTGCCTGGTCTTTTTAACTCACTAGTTATTTCAGGAAGCCATTGCCCCTAATTCTATTAATATAAAGTATTAATTTTGTAAAACTATATACCGGTATGTGAGAACAAGGGGAAATAAAGCTTGCTGATGTTGTGATTGTTGTTACAGCTTATACAGCAGGGTTTGTACGGTTCATGGAATACTTAGAAAATGGCAGATCTTAAGTTGTTGTTCACCACTGTTTTCATAAAAAATTGTGGACAAATGCCCTGCCTAAAGAAAGTAGAGATTCAGTTAAGTGTTTTACATTGTAACTGATAACAGGTATGACTGTTATGTGGGTATATGGTTCTGTGAGCTGCTAGAGTTTTGATNTATATAGGCTCCTCCTCCCCCTCTACAGAGATCGAACTCTGCAACATTTCTTCGAGCTGGTTCAAGAAATGGTCCTCCAGTCAAGGACCGACCCACATCATGTGAGCCTGTTATTCCACGCGAGATGAAGTTGACTGTTCCTAAGGCAACTATTGCTAAAGAGGTGAGCATCAGTTGCTGAGGACACAAAAGTCTATCCAGTTTACTCAGCGGTGTGAGATTCTCAGGGGAACAGTATTTTTTTAGTGCTCACTATGTGCTCTGTTTTGTATATATGGGTTATTGACCAAGTGTGAAATCAAGATGACTGGATATTGGCCAAGTTTTTTTTTTGCGAGTTTATGGACCGAGATGGAGGCCAATATCCAGCCATCTTGACCAAACAAGCTTGGTCAATAAAGGATTTATTATATGGCTTTTGGGGAAATTTTTCTTGCAGGATATGGCAGGTAGTCCCAAGTGGGCAAGATAGCTCCATCTTGCTCGCTCGGGTAGCCAATCACAATGCAGGATTTGATTCATCTTGTCCGCTCACGGAGCTAACCATATAATAAGTGTGTGTACTGACCTAAATTTGTATTAAGACCTAAGCTGCCTGCTCTTTTTAACTCTCTAGTTATTTCAGGAAGCCACTGCCCCTAATTCTATTAATATAAAGTATTAATTTTGTAAAAATATATACCGGTATGTGAGAACAAGGGGAAATAAAGCTTGCTGATGTTGTGATTGTTGTTACAGCTTATACAGCAGGGTTTGTACGGTTCATGGAATACTTAGAAAATGGCAGATCTTAAGTTGTTGTTCACCACTGTTTTCATAAAAAATTGTGGACAAATGCCCTGCCTAAAGAAAGTAGAGATTCAGTTAAGTGTTTTACATTGTAACTGATAACAGGTATGACTGTTATGTGGGTATATGGTTCTGTGAGCTGCTAGAGTTTTGATGTAGACTTGTATGTCTGTTATAACAGGTTCTCACTGATTATTGTCCTTTATTATTGCAGCACAAACCGCAAGTGAAAAATGTCAATCATATTGGTCAAAATGTTCGCCGTGCTCCCTCACCTCTCAGACCACGCCCACCCTCAGTGGTTGCAGCCGAGAAGTTAGCAGCCAAGAAGCAGGAAGAGGAGAAACGTTATCAAAGAGGAAAAGTACCCAAGTAGTGAGTATACAGGCTCAAAATCTAAATTATCTTTACATGGTTACAACACTTTGTTAAAATTAGGTTTGAGAATTTGTTCTTATATAAATTCAAGATGGCATCCTGTATGTCATGGTGCATTCTAGCAATAGATAACCTGCGAGTTTGGCTTGGCTCACTCTTGCAGCCTCTTCAGTCACATGTGTTACTGCGTGGTGATTCTTGTTGTTCCACCCAATTCTTGGAGGTGAAAGGAAAAGTGCTAAATGTAGCAGTTGGTAAAAGACTAGCTAGGATGCCTGGATGGGATGCTAGGTCATCACAGGTCTCCCCACCATTCTGACACATTGTCCTAAGAGACATTGCTAGAGTAAATTGTCTTCCCAAGAATAAAATACCTCGACGTAAGCCAGCACTAAAACCTGAATGGCTCAATCCAGTGCAATAACCATCAGGTCAGCGTGCTTCTCACTAGTTTGGAACTTGTTAGTAATGATTGAAGAACTATCTTGTTGTACTACTTACTTCTCAAAACTCAAATAGAAACTTGTGTATGTGATTCGTTCAGAAGAATTAGGAATTTGAGTTTCAAAGAAGACAACCATGCTCAATGCCTTGAATATGATTACTTTCAGCCTTAAAGCTCGTCAACAACAATGGAAGGAAGAAGAAGCGATAAGAATTGCTAACATGCCAGATCCCAGTGTCCCCCCTGGACACACGCTAATGCCAAGGGAAGAACGACTACAGACGTTGGCTAGCCTTCAAAAGAGTAAGTCGCATAAGTTTTTGCTGACAAGTATGAGTGCTATATCGAGTGTTTGGTTCTGACAACAACAAAATTGTAAAATGTAGACTTTTCTAGCCTTTGAATCTATCATTTTTCAACATTTTTAGTAGAAAAGTAACAGCTTTTGGTGTGGTATCAGATATCCCACACTATTGTCATCGGCTCGTGTCCGTTAATGCAAATGAGTTGCAAAGATTGCATTGCATTCTGGATCCACGTATCCCACACGTGTACCCTTTGGGTGCCTATTTTTACAGGGTGTCAAAACGTTTTGAAATGAACTTCTTTATAAGGAAAACGTTCCTCTGCATTGTCAAACCAGGTAGGCAAAATCAACCTCACAGCCAGGCAATTTGCCCAGTACCACGCCCTTAATGAAACCCTTGGTCCGTTTTCCACCCATGGTGCAAACATTTGGAAATTCTTCCAAATCTTTCCTAGTCTTAACTTCTGCACTAAACTACCCCTGTTATCTGAGATTTTCTTCTACTTTTAACACATTTTGGAACACCGTAAAAATGAGTTAAAGTAGTTATACATGTATGACCTACAATTGGTTCCCAAGAAATTCCTGTAATTTAATAAAGTGTTAGAACGTTTGATTGATCTGTTGAAGGTCTTAGGTTAAGCTCCTGTGACATGTAGGAGAACTCAAAAAACGTTTTCCACTAGCTTGTGTCAAGAATCGAGTAATGTCTGCCTCACACCCAACCTCAATCCCAGGCGCCAAGCTTTTAATTGACAATTATAATTCCTTTCCAATTTTATTGTTTTTGTTTCTTTTTCTTCCAGATCAGACAGAGCTTCTTGCCCAATTAAACGCACTTCCTGTAAGAGTTGACACACTGCGTGTAAAGACAACAAAAGCCGAACTTGAAAGGAAACTTTCCGAAATAGAAAGTGCTATCAAAATTTTCTCCCGACCCAAAGTGTTTGTAAAAGTGGACGAATGATAACCTTAGTGGAGAAGCCAACGGAGAAAAAAACTGCCTTACCCCTCTCGTGTTGAATTGAGATTACTTGAGGAGCATGAGACATAGAACTTGGATGACAATAGAAGAAACTGTTGGGTTGGAGATTCTGTACAGTGTACGTCGAAAGAGAAACCTGGTTAAGCTTGCGGAAGGGAAAGTTTTTGAACATATGATTAAATCTGTGATACTTTTGTTTTTTCTTACACAGAGAAAATCCCACGTATATGAATATTTTACATATCCATTATTTTAAAACTGAAAGAAAAATTCAAGAATAGACATCGAAACCTTTCATATCTTGTGAAACTGAAGTTCCTCCTCTCATCGAGAATTTGAGCACGAAAGTCATATACCAAGATAGTGCTGCACACGTGTTGTGATTGGTTCAAAGCTGTGTGCATTATGACATTGTCGGTTCATTTGAACGAATGACTGCAGCAAAAGCAAAGCTGGTCTGTTTTTATAATAATTTGAATTTTCATCAAACATAGTCTATTCAAGCCTTCTGTAAACTATTGTAAATAAACTTTGTACCCACTGCTGTGTACAATCATGATTTTGCGTGTTGGACTGCGGATGAAGAGAGCAGCTTTTAACACTATTCGACGTTGAAATGATAACATGAACGAAAAATACAAATTAACGAAAAACGAACTAGAAGTAAGCAATCTGATTGGTTTAGGGAACGGAGACAAACGCCTACGGATTTCGGGTTAGTTTCTGGAGGGCCTTCGCGGTCAATTTATTTCGGTGACTTATAGGCCCGTTACGCACTACGTAAATTTGAAAACGGCGTTTTCACTCTGAAAACGCATCAAATGTTTTCCGTACACAATACGCCGGAGAATTTTGAAAACGCAACAATCACCGGTCATTTTGGATTTGTGTTTGAGGAAAACTCAAACAGGGAAATCACGTGATTATCGAGACGTCATCGTTTTCGTAAAGCTCCGTTTTCAAAATGTTGTCCGTCCACATTAAACGCAAAGCCCGCGTTTTCAAATTCCTCCCGTTTAAAGCCGTTTTAGTCGAAACGCTCCGTTTTCGTGACAGATTAGTGTGGACGGTAGGCCTAACCGTAGAAATAAAGCTGCATTTTCAAATTTCTCCAGCTTAGTGTAAACGGGGCCTTACCTGAGACGAACGGCTGGACCACGTGACCCAAACTGGATTGACCGCGGAGAAGTATCGAGACCTAGGAACTAGGCAATGGACAAGAGTCGCTCAAGGGTTGATCCTCGCTTGGTACGAAGTAATTTTATGAGCAGCTATTCTCTTTGGCATTGTGATAAGTCAAAGCTTTCTACATACTAGGGATATTCTTGTTAGAAAACGTGCAATACCTGATTTGATCCTTTCATTTACTCGCGGGCAAAATAAATTGAAAACTCGATGTGGAAACTTAAAAAAAAAAAAAAAAAAAAAAAA